GGAAAAATCGAACACTTGTGAATTTGCTTCCTCCTTTTGAAGTGAGTAATTACATTTTTCCTCTTGATAATGATGGGTCACCCACTTGAGTGGCAGGCACCCAAGCATTTGGACCATCTGCCACTGGCCTCCCTGGCACACAAGCAGGAGGCTGGGTTGGAAGTGGAGCAGCCAGGACTCCAACCAGCATGGGCTCTAGTAAGGGATGAGGCCATTGTAAGTTCTGCCTTAACCCACGGTGCAACGATGCACCTGAGATGCACCCTCGCCCCCTGATGACCTTCGGGACTTTTTAAATTTCATTTTTGACAGTTTGACTGCTATGGCTACTTATGGAATTCTTTCTCTGTTGCTTGTCTTCCTCGGCATCCACTGAACTGTTTGCAATTGTGGTTTTGTGTCTCTTTGTGAGAGATTTCTTGCACATTAGCTCTTCAGATATTTCTTCTGTTCCATTGTGTACTTTTTCCTTGTGCAGTTGCCATCAGCTGTGTTGTGTCACCCCACAGCTCTCTTTTCCATTTTTCTCCCTTGTTGTAGATTGGATGCTTATATTCATGCATGTTTATGTTTGCTGATTCATTCTTCAGTTATTTAAAGTTTTATTAGGAACTCCACTTCTTGGCTGAAAGTCCCTATCTTTTTGTGCATGTTATGCACCTGTTTCCACTGGATGCAATATGGGATATTAGGTGTTGGACTGAGTTTAATAGTGTTTTTGTGTGGAAATAAGTTTATTTTTTTTCTTCTGCCACACTGCAAATGTGTGGAGTTCATCTGAGTTTACTCCTGTTTGAAACCCCCTTTGAGGGAGAGTTGCTTTTGCCTTAGGCTTAGCGAAGGGTCCAGGATGAGAATTTTGCTCAGGGCTCGGGCTCCCCCTTCAGCTTTCTGGGCACACCAGCATCACAAGCCTGCTGTCTGATCCCAGCAGCTGACTACTGTTGCTTCATAGTCCTGTGCTTGGCAGCTGCTGGTGTTTGGGGTCTTTCGTTGCGGGCTTAGTCAGTGGGCCTGACTGCAACAATGGATCTTTCCTCACAGTCTTGCCCTTCCTACCCTGAAAGCCAAACTGCCTTGGACCTCTGGGCTGCTGATGAAGGACCTTCTCAGATGCTGCCAAATTCCATCCCAGCAATCAGGAACATCATCGTATTTTCATCACAGTAAAAGAGGCAAAGAGGGCTCTGGTCCCTAAAATCATTGCAGTCTTTTGCTAAGTTCTATAATTCTTTTAAATTTTAAAATGTTATTTTTAATTACATGGGGAGAACAAATTTCATGTATTTCTTGTATACAGTTTTTAGACCCTAATGGCACTTTGTATCCCGTGATGGACATGTAACACCTGGCCATGGACATAACTGGACATAATACCTTTTTATTAATTAAATAGCCATCGAATAGTTTGAAGGTATTACGTTCATGCTTTCTCCCTGGTTGTCAAGCATGAGAAAGCACTCAGGTGCATCAAAGCGTCACTGGGTGGAGATGGGAAGCAATGGCTTTTCTATAGAAGCATTCTGCGCAAGAGTCTGACCATTTTTGCACCTCTAAAATTGGGAGTGCATTATACACTATATGTGTCTGTAAGCATTACAGACATGAGATGAGGTGGCAAGAGAGCTCAGGGTCTGACTGAGAGCCAAGAGTCTGACTGACCCTGCTGCAGTTAGATACGTTTCAGTCTGTAAATTACTATTTTGTGCCTCATTTTCTTCATTAAACAGAAGTTAATAGCGCTTATCTTGTTTGGCAGGATTACTGTGAGAGTAAAATGAAATCACAGAAGGGTCACTTCCAGGAGGATCGAGGAACTGTAGAAAAATGTTAGGGTAGGAAAACTGGGGTGTCCTTTTGACACTGTGTGAGAGAGCACATGAATGTGGAGGACAGCAAGGTTAGAAACTGTTGTTTCTCTTACTAAAATTAGCCTGTTGGGACAAAGGTCAATCAAGTCCTTCTCAACCAGCCAACGGCACGACACTCAAGGGAAAAGGCACACAAGATCTTAAACATCCTGGGAACTCCCGAGTGTCGCCTGCCATTCAGGAGGGCCCAGGGAGCCCACCTGGGCTTTGAGAACTCCTCACCTGATACCCACGCTGCTGCCTCAGCTTTGGAGTGAGTCCCCATGAGCAGGTTGGTCACTTACACAACATAAAGCATCACTCAGGAGACAGAGACAAGTAAGAGAACTCTCAATGTGACACTGAAGGTTATTTCCTTCTGCCTGCTGTCATTCACAGGGAAGAATGGTGAAAAGGAACCAGACACACACAGTGCAAGGTATGGTTTTGTAGCCAGGGATGCACACAGTTGAAGCCTGCAGCTATGAACCATCAGGTACAAGTAGAGGCCAAGGGAGGGTTGACTGAGGGCCACCTCCAGCCCCCTGCCTGCTTTTGTAAGTGATATTGTATTGTAACACAGTCACTTTCCATTTGTTTACGTGCTGTGTGTGGCTGCTTTTGTGTTACCATGGCAGAGATGAGTGGGTGTGTCAGGAACGGTTGGCCATCTGGCCCTTGGTAGAAACAGCATCTACCCCAAACCTAGAGTCGTGATGCCACTTTTTCCACTCCCAACAGACATGACTTTTTCCAGTCCCAACAGCCATGACTAAGATGAGTGTTTTATTCAAGTCTCTTTCTTGCAATGAATTAATCACTGCTTTGTACTTTGCATCTGAGAATAATGACACTGATTCTTGATTATTACATAAGAATAATTCTGACTTTAGATTTCAACATATTAATGAAGTGAAAGGAATGCACATTCTCTCCATTTGTGAGAGAATGGACAATTGTTGAAAAAATACTCCACTACAGAAGTTTCCAGGAAACAGAGGTAAGGAAAGGCCAGTTAATAACCTATGGTGATACCATGAGTTAGATCTAGATTATGGAAAAATTCTGTTTGAAAAAAAACCCAGTTTTTTTTTTTTCAAAAAAATAAACAAACATGGATGAGTTTGGGGAGTTGTTGGAGATTAAGAGAAGTAATACACGGGACTGCAAAATTGAACAAACTGAAGTAGTTGAGGATATGGAAAGAAGTTACACCTGGGTGGAGATGTGGGTGCTACTTTATTATTTTTGATTTCTTGGTAATGATACTGGCATTGTGGGTCATTTGATTCAGGTATAATCTGTTAGAGATAATTGATCATCGAGCCAGTGATGAAACACATGATGGCAGGGATTTTCTTTCTGCTTAAGCTTGGGTAGTAAGAAAAAAAAAGGATGGTATAACCAACATAATATTGGCAAAAGACCAGTAGTGCTCCATCAGGTGGGGGTGGAGGGCAGATCCGTGCAGTCTGTGTACCTTCTGCTCGGCCTTCATGCATAGATGTGTAACTTTTCATTATAAAGATATTTTGTTTTTGCTGAATCCTGAACTGTTGGCCATTATTGCACCTCTAAAATAGGAATTGAGTGTTACGCTGTATGTGTCTTTATAAGGATTAGAAACACAAGATGAGGTGGCAAAGAGCTCAGCATAGTCCCTGATAGACGGGGTTGATTGATACCCATTTCCTGTTGTGTCTGTTGTCAAGCTATACCTTGTAGTAAGCCTAGTTATTTTATAGCGTAATTGACCATCATGAACAACAATACCTTGAACCCATATTGCTGTATATGGATGCAAATGTTTTTCAACCTATAAGATGCACTCGCAGAGTCTGGAAACAAACAGCACCTGTCAGATAGCAGGAGGAAGAACTGGTGGTCTGCCATTGAAATCAAGAACACAGTTGGAATGGCTGGTTGTCACACCAATCTGGCTACTCCTTGAAATTAGATTTTGTTCCAATCATAGCTTTTTAGGAGATGATTAGTTCATGCCTATCCATTCACTGAGGTATCAGCAGCCTGCTCTGTTGGATTGACAGATTTCCCATTTGATTTGTCATTATTCCTCCGTAATAATCTAACACTCCCACTGAAGCCAAAGAAGCCTGAGTCACTCAACCAACTGTTGGTCAAGTGGTGATCTGCGCCCTAGCTAGTATGTACGATCCAAAGTTGTAGGAATACACATGGACTTTGGAAAATGCAGGGTTTAAAAAATGTATTTATTGGGCCCGGCAGCGTGACCTAGTGGCTAAAGCCCTCGCCTTGAACGCCCTGGGATCCCATATGGGCGCCGGTTCTAATCCCAGCTGTTCCACTTCCCATCCAGCTCCCTGCTTGTGGCCTGGGAAAGCAGTCAAGGACGGCCCAAAGCTTTGGGACCCTGCACCCATGTAGGAGACTTGGAAGATGTTCCTGAATCCTGGCTTTGGATCGGCATAGCATTGGCCATTGTGCTCACTTGGGGAGTGAATCATTGGACGGAAGATCTTCCTCTCTGTTTCTCCTCCTCTCTGTATATCTGACTTTCCAATAAATAAATAAATCTTTTAAAAAGTGTATTTATTTTGTTTTTAATGGAAAGGCAGATTTACAGACAGAAGAAGAATCAGATCTTCCATCTGCTGGTTCACTTCCCAAGAGGTCACACAAGCCAGAGCTGAGCTGAGGTGAAGCTGGGTGCCAGGAGCTTTTCTGAGTCTCCATTTGGGTGCAGGCTCTCAAGAACTTGGGCCATCCTAAACTGCTTCCCAGGCCACTAACAGGGAGATGGATCTGAAGTGGAGCAGCCGGGGCCCAAATCAACAACTACATGCGATGCCAGCCCCACAGGCAGAACATTAGCCTGCTGCTCCACCATCTCAGCTCCTTTTTTGTTTTAAGCAAAACAAACATTTGTCCCATCCATGAATTATCCCAAATGATTGAAATAAACTTGCCTTGTTGCACATACCAAAAGTTCATCTTTTTTTTTGAGGAAAATTATTTCCTGAGGGAACTTTTAGAAGGCATTATATTTTTGAGAGTTTTGTTGTTGTTAAGAAAGGAAAATAATGGGAATGTGTTCAGGGAAACTGGGAAGCAATGTTTTGACTCATCCAAGGATATTAAAACTGGTTTTGTTTGCTTTTCCCCCCACAGAATGACATCACTCCTTTACATGTTGCTTCAAAAAGAGGAAATGCAAATATGGTAAAATTATTGCTTGATCGAGGAGCTAAAATCGATGCCAAAACCAGGGTAAGAGCACAACTTCCGTCCGTGCTGGTGCTTCTATTCAGGACAAACGAGCGCTTGCCCAGATGCCTTTGTTAGTTCACCACTGGCTTCAGCTTTGTTTCATTTATTGGTGTCTCTTAGAAAATGATTGTTACATCTTTCCTGCAAGTGGAATAGCAGCCCGTATTTATAAATCTTCCTTGTGTGTTTAAGTAGTTCTTGTCTTTAATAAGATGCAACACTTAAGATGCGGAACTAGGATTCTGGTGGAGTTCAGTGTCAGTAATAACTGCTTGGCTCTGTAAGATGAGCTGGATACTAAAACTGATAGTCATTCTATGTGTAACACATATGTCTACTGCGTGTACTGCTGGTAAGAACATATCACGGTGTGGTCCCTGTGGCAAAAACCAAAGGGGAAATACCTCAAAAAAATTAAAGCTACCGCTACTGCCCAGTTTGGCAGTCTCACTTCTGGTACACTTTGAAAGCATTGAAAGGAGGACCCCAGGGGTACCCGCACACCCGTGTTCGCTGCGGCATTATTCACAATAGAGAGGGCTGGAGGTGGTACAAATGTTCGCTGACAGCTGAGACAGTTTTACTCTGTGGCATGTGGGGCAGTGCTTGAGGCTAGTATCTGGAATCTCTGCATCCCATTGGAGTGGCCTCAACTCCCATCTTGGTTCCTGATTCTAACTTCCTGCTAAATCATACCATAAGAGGCAGTGCTAAAGGCTGAAGTAGTTGAGTGAAGCTGTGCTGCTCAGAGAAGTGGATTGCAGGCAAGTTCTCAACTTTGACTCTCACCCAGCCCCAGCCACTGCAGATATTTGAGGAATGAATAAATGATGGGAGCATGCATGTGCACACACACTTGTTCTCTCAGATTAATACATTTTTAAAAGAGTTATTTATTTTTATTGGAAAGGCAGATATACAGAGAGGCATAGAGGAATATCTTCCATCTACTGATTCACTCTGCAAGTGGTTGCAAACAGATGAAACTGAGCCAATCCGAAGCCAGGAACCCTGAGCCTCTTATAGGTCTCCTCTGCGGGCACAGAATTCCAAGTCTTTGGGCCATTCTCGACTGATTTCCCAGGTGACAAGCAGGGAGCTGGATGGGAAGCAGGACTGCCAGGATTAGAACCGGTGCCCATATGGAATCCCAGAGCATTCTAGGCGAGAACGTTAGTCACTAGGCTACCACACTAGACCCTCAAATGTATATTTTAAAGTATGATATACACATAATGAAATATTATTCAAATTTTGAAAAGTAAGAAAATGGGCCCAGTGCAATAGTCTAGCGGCTAAAGTCCTCACCTAGCACTTGCAAGATCCCACATGGGCAAAAGTCCCAGCTGTTCCACTTCCCATCCAGCTCTCTGCTTGTGGTCTAGGAAAGCAGTTGAGGACAGGCCAAAGCCTTGGGACCCTGCACCCACGTGGGAGACCTGGAAGAGGATCTTGGTTCCTGGCTTTGGACCAGCTCAGCTCCAGCCTTGTGGCTACTTGGGAAATGAACCAGTGGACAGATCTTTGTCTCTGCCTGTCCTTCCCTCTGTAATTCTGACTTTCCAATAAAAATAAATCTTTAAAAACAAAAAATAGAAAATCATATTACAGGCTATGACATCAGTGAACCTTGAGGACATTGTAATGAGTGAAATATGCCAGTCATAAAAAGTTAAATATCGTATGATATCTAGAGTTGCCAAAATCACAGGAATAGAAAATGCAGTGATGCTTTCCCGAGACTGGGAGAACATAAGCATTGTCCTTCCTCAGGCAGATTTTTGGCATCCCAGGATGAAAACCTTCTAAAGATCTGTTATACTCCAACACGCATGTCATTTGCATTTCTGAGGTATGCACATTTAAAAAGTTATGAGAAAGATTTTATGAGTATTTTATCACGTTTACTTTTTTATTTTAAAAGCAGAGTGGCAGAAAACCAGGGAGGAGAGATTGGAAAGAGAGAGAGCTCCATCTTCTACCTGCTGGTTTACCTCTCAGGTGCCTGCAGTGGCGGGGACATGAGGCCGAAGCCAGGAGCCAGGAGCTTCATCCGGGTCCTCCTTTTGGATGGCATGGCAGTTTAAGTACTTGAGCTGTCATCTGCTGCCTCCTGGGCGTATTAGCAGGAAATTAAAACAGACGCAGAAGCAGTACTTGGTCCCAGGCACTCCAGTATGTGACGAGAGCAATGATAGCTCAGCGGCCCAAAGTCTTGGGACCCTCACCCATGTGGGAGACCTGGAAGAAGCTCCTGGCTCCTGGGTTTGGATCGGTGCAGCTCCGGCCATTCCGACTGCTTGGGAAGCTGGATTCAGTTCCTGGCTGTGAACTGCCCTTGCCGTGACCATGACAGGCATTTATGCAGTGAACCAGCAGATGGAAGCTTTCTCTCTTTCTCTCTGTGTCTGTCTCTTAACTAAATAAGTTCCAAATCATAATTTCTGTGACTGTCAAGGAGATTAAGGATAAATCTTCCTGGAGGTGTTTAGCAAGGGTCTGATGAACTCCACGATCGTTATGTTTCTGTTTAGTTCATTTGAAGAAAGCTTTTCCTGTTTTCTCAATCCAGTAATGCTGAATATCACCTGGCTTGTTAACAGGTGTTCCTGTTGATAGCCAAATGTAAGGATGTAGAGTATCTTATGAAGTTGACAAATATGCTGAGATATAAATACTTATTAAGACAAATTTTTCAATCTGGTCTGTTTGTGGAAGCTTAATTTGGAGATGGCTTGTGAAGTTTCTTTTTTCGTAAGCTCTGTTTCTTTATTAACTTATATGTATTGCCAAGTATGACTTGCTATTTCTTTCCACTGAATTCTTGCTAGTGTGAGTGTTATGTTCATGTTAAAGAGATTCGACAGTGAGTGGATGGTCCCTTGTCATTTTCACTTTGCTTTGCATCAACTTATAGCCCAACCAAAACACTAAATGTGGACCCTAGCCCAGAGCAATTTGACGACTTGAATTCTCTCTTTTTACTAACTCTGCCCATCGAATAAGCACTTCAGAAAACTGTAGATTTCCTGGATGTACAGTCAGAATAATACTGCTTCCCAAATGCTGCTCTAGCTAAGCTACTCCCAAACAGGCGTTGCTGTTGTCCTCGTGTAATTCCATTGCTTCAACAGTGTATGGAGCACTACTCCCTGGTGCTGAGATCCACACATCAGCCTTGTCTGTAGTACTTAGCAGACCCAGCTGACTCCCTGGCTCCCAGCAGACGCCCAGTAGGTATTTGCTGAGTATATTGAAATAAGATATACTCCTTAATGCTACATCTGTCATGGTCTTTTTGGGGGGTAGAGATTGTTTTTGATAATCAAAATGTCTTTCTTTAACCCTTCTCCCAATGATTTTCTACTGTATTGGAAACCTAATTTCTTTTGACAAATTAGATACCTAAAAATAGTGGGTTGATGTCACAACATTTTTTTCTTGAAGAATCTACAAAGTGGACTTAGACAATTATTATTTTAGTTAATTCCTTTGTGATTACAAGAGCTGGCGCTCAGAAAGTAATCAACCTTTTCTCCTATTTTCCTTTGATATGTGTTGGTAATGGCCACATCCAATTTCTTTTCGATAACAACATCAGTTAGGCACACAAAGAATCCACAATAATCTTCTTTAAATATCTTTAATTTTCCCCTATTCTCAAACATAAATCATTATCTTTTTTAAAATAAATTGTTTGCCTTAAGTTGAATTCTTTTTTTAATATGTAGCATCTTATAAGAGCTTTATAATGCATTGACATATTTCTGAAGCCATAATTTGTGATAGGTTACTTAGTATCTAGCAGCTGAGAAACCGAGAGTTATGTGTTTGTAAAGAAATTTCATAAAGTGATGTGTGATGAAACAAACTGTGGTGGCCTGGTGTGTGGAGGTCACATGTCCTGTTTTTACTAAGATGGATGAGCATTTTTCCTTCAAGGAATGCTGGAGCATTTGGATTAGACTTTGCTTCCCACTGATAAAAGTAATACACTCCAGACAGGAATAAGCCCCGACGGGTTCCAGACTCTCTAGAACATGCCATTCGTAGTATCTAGCCTGTGATTTTAAAGTTTCTAAATAAAGATGAAAGAAAATGTGACCTACAGCCAAAGGACAGGTTAGATCATAGAAACACCCCCATGGATTACTCAACTGTTACAATTAGCACTCTAAAACAAAAAATGATTGAAAAACAAATGCAGTGCCAGTGACCTGTGGGATGGCAAGTTCACTGAATCCAGAGAATAGATTCAAATGTTCATATTTATTTTCAAATTAAATCATAAACTACAACCTGCAGATTCAAGAATCCCATTCCCCAACCCGCAGATTCAAGGAACCTATTCCCCAGAAAGGATAGAATAAAATATACAGAGACATATACAGAAACTGTTGAAATTAAAGCTAGAAAAACTTTCAAGCACTCAGAGAAAAAGAATGAGAAAACGGCATAAGAAGGTGAACATCAACATCTCAGCAGAAATGTTGCAGGAGAGAAAACAATGAAGCATCTTTCCAGAATTGCACTGAAATCAATCCATCTAAATTGTATTTCTCTTCAAAATATAACTAGAACAGGCATTGTGGTACAGCAGGTGGAAACTCACTGGATGTACCTGTGTCCCAGGTCAGAGTTCCAGGGTTCCAGGGTTCGAATCCCAGCTGTGTTTCCAATACAGCTTCCTGGTCCTGAGCATGCTGGGAGGCAACGTTTGGTTGCCCTCATTCTTAATTCCCTGCCACTCCTGTGGGACACCAAGATGGAATTCTGGGCTACTGGGTTTGGCCTGGCCCAGCCCTTGTTACAGAGATCTTGGGAGGGACCCAGCAGGTAGAAGATTGCTCGCTCATGCTCTGTCTCTCTCTCTTTCTCAAATACAAGTAAATAAATAAACTTTGTAAATATATTTTTAAAACAAACTTTCAGATAATCAAAGTTGAGTTAACTTGTTATTGTCTGAACTACACTCACAGAAACACTAAAAGAAGGTTTTA